GAACACTGAAAAGCAAGAAAGTTACTCTGAGGATTGAGGTGTGCCTGACCCAAGCCATGGTGTTTTCAACTGTCATACATATGCGGAATTTGGACACTGAATAAGGAAGACTGAAGAATATGCATTTGAATTGTGGTGCTGGAGAGAAATATTGAAAATACCATAGGCTGCCAAAAGGACAAACAAAACTGCCTTTGAAGAAGTAGAGTCAGAGTGCTCCTTAGAGGTAAGGATGGCAAAACTTTGTCTTACATACTTTGTTGTGTTTTGCTTTTTAGTTTTCTGTCTTACCTACTTTTGACATATTGCCAGGAGAGACCAGTCCCTGGAGACGGACATCGTCCTTGGGCAAGTAGAGGGACAGTGAAAAAGAAGAAGGCCCTTGCTGACACGGATGGATACCGCAATAATGAGCTCAAGCTTAGGAATACTTCTGAGGATGTCTCAGGACCAGGTCGTGTTCCGTTGTGATGTGAAGACTAGGGTCCTTATGGGCCAGAACTGACTCTGTGGCCACCAACAGTAACAACACTGGTGGGGTGGATTGGGTGAGTTGTAGCAAGGCCCGGGGCCAGTTGTATAATACTATATTAACAACATCGCAAAGGACTATAGAGATGGGGCAGACCATTTGAAATCCAAATACATTTTACAGATATGAGAACTCAGGCACAAAATGATTAAGGTATTTTGTGATTGCACAAACAGTCTGTCAATAAAAGAATGAAGTTCTTGTAGACCACATATAAAAATGAACTCAGAATGGGTTATTCACCTAAATATAAGCACTGAAAAAATGAAAACCTGCAAGGAAACATTAGGGTAAATATCCATGAACTTGGTTACGGCAGTACATAATGGATTCCTGTATATGACGACAAAAGCACAAGCAAAGATGGGGGGCCGGTTTGGGGCATTATGAACATTTTAAATAAGGAGAGGAAAAGAGCATAGTTTCATAGGCAGAGGCTCTGTAAAACCTTCAAATAAAACTTGAAAAAGATCAGAGAAGACTCAAGAACCTACATTGTAAGAACAGAAATCTCTACCAAGTTACAGCCTGATGTTACAGTGGGAAGAAGTTAAAGGCCACCACCACCATGCCCCCACCCAAAAAAAATCCATGGATTCTAGCCTGCCCCAACAGAATGCCTGTGAAGCTGGCCCTTCCCCAGAGCTCCAGACCTCAGCTGCCCCAGACTTCACAGAAGGGAGAAAAGTGAGTTGACACATCATCTCCACACCCACCTTGACACACCACAAAGAAGGGCAATACTATTTTGCTGTCAACATATTTAAGGGGTGGGAGATGTCAAGTCTGCACCGGGGAGGAGTAAGTGTGGTTGAACTCCAGTGAGTTCCTCACAGAGAATTCACAGATAAAATCCACAGGCTCCTTGGACCTTGTGGTTGAAAGAGTCACTATATTCCAGGCAGATATTAGTGACTCAAACAGCTGGAGGCTGATTCTCAGTGCCTGACCTGATTTTCACAGTAAACTGTGGAAACGCTTCCCTTGCATACCAGGAGGATGATCCAGTCCAGAGGGAGTGCAGATTCTGGCAAACCTGCTTCAGGAGAAAATTAGCACAGGAGACTTTGAACCTGAACTGTCTAAGAATCCAGAGTTTAAAGAGAAAGAGCCTGCTGGTCTGCCCACACCCAGATAAAAGAAATTCTGGGCCAGGCTCTAATATTACAGTCAGTGAATACAACCAGGCAAGTGAGTAGGCAAATTGTCTTGGATATTCTACTGTCTCCCCCTTTGTGTCACCTGTATTGGTCATTGGCCTATAGTTTTTGCTAGTTTCCACAGTCAATTCAGACTCATAATAACCCTAGGTACAACAGACGGAAACACTCCGGTCCTGGGTCATTCTCACAATTGATTTTGTGCTTGAACCCACTGCTGCAGCCAGTGTATCAATCCATCTCGTCCAGGGCCTTCCTCTTTTTTGCTGCCCCTCCATTACCAAGCAAGATTTCCTCCTCTTCCAGGGACTGATCGCTCCTGACAGTATGTCCAAAGTATGTAAGGCAAAGTCTTCCCATCCTTGCCTCTAAGGCACTCTGGCAATACTTCTTCTAAGAGAGATTTGTTCTTTTGATAGTTCCAATATTCTTCTCTAGCATCACAATTCAAATGTATAGATTTTACCGTGGTCGTCCTTATTCAATGCCCAAATTTCACATAGATATGAGGCGGTTGAGAACACCATGGTCAGGCATACCTCAGTCCTCACAGCAACTAGTCTGACAGAGAAGACTGTGCGGTTCACAAAAGACAGCAAACTATCTTAAACTTGGA